TTCCCCCGGAGGTTCTTGCTGCATAGCATTTGTCCTGGCAGGAGCAGTGTTTGAGACACTGCCCATATGCGAAGACACTGGTAATCTTTGCTCATCAACTGTAGGAGTTCCTGGTCGCTGATCATCCAAGATGGATGCAAGTTTGTCTGCATTTGATCCACCATTGTTGTTATAATTACCACGTTGATAATGGGGCGGTGTCTCCACTCCAGGAGGCCTCAGGAAAGGACGTATGTGCCTACCTATGATATTAAGAATATTATTAAATTACCAACAAAGTTAATATTAAAGCAATTATTAACTAACCATTTCTAAGTGCCCCATGACCTTGCAAATGAGGTGGAGGCATTGTAACAGTTATATTATCATCATCTCCATCTGATTCTACTTCTGTACCAGGAGGACGTTCAACAACAGCAGGTTTTTCCACTTCTAAAATATAGTATAAATTTAAATTAATAAACTAAAAAATGTTTCAAGGATTCTCAAAGATTTCTTGTTTTTTACCGGTTGTATCATCGACAGTAGGTGTTTGTTCATCAGTTTTTTCTGCTGTTTTCTCTTGAACTTCTTTTGTTTCTTTGAATTTACCATTTTGTGTGGAATCTGCTTCTGAGATTACAGTATTTTTGGTGCCTCCGCTTTCCTCGTTCTCCTGTGTATGATCTGTTTCTGTTTTGTTTGAATCATCTATCGATGCATCTAATATTACAACTGATTTATCATTGGCAGTTGAATCTAGATCGACTGTAGCATCAGCTGAAGCATGGGTACTTGTAGGAGTATGGACAGCTGAAGAAAAAAATGATTATAAGTATAGTAATGGATTCATAATAATATAATTTTTGAAATGCAATACTTACTAGGTTTCTTAGGAATGTATTTTCTAGTTTTTATATATCCAGTCTCTAATTTAAAAGCTTGTACAGAATTCCTTAAAAATCTATTTGGAATCATTGTGACTGGTGAAATATCTTTGTCTTTACAATCAGGACATTCATGGTCTTCAGATTCCATAAGAGTCAATCTGATACCTAGAACACAAAATTAATAATAGGTATAAAATCTACAATGTTTGAGATGAAGATTTACAATTACAATAAAAGAAAATTTTACAATGAACAAGTATATCCCTTACATTCATCACAAAAGCTGCTACCACAACAAGGAATCATCACAGCGTCTGACAATAGATCTTTGCAAATCATACATTGCAAATCTTCAGGTATTTCTACTTTATTTTCAACCACTGTAGTTTGTTTAATTGGATCCGGAGATGGAGATCTAAAAAATAAAATCATAAACAATTAAACTATAATATTCTTCATGAGATATGTAATTTTAAAACATTTCCTACTTTTCAGGATTTATAACAGGCTGGCCGTAACCTCCAATTGGCTTCTCAACAATAAAACTTCTTGGAATCCAGTGTTGCGCTTTATATCAGCAGTCTCCTAATAATTTTATAAGCATTTAATGAATTATGTATGAGTAAAGAGATATTTATCAGTAAAATTAAACACTAACCGCTCCAGAAGTCATAGGACAGTTTTTAATCCAATGTCCTGCCATGTGGCATTTGAAGCACCTGTAATTAGGTGGCACTTCGCCTTGTTGATTAGCTCCACGAACCTTTTGATAGCTACCCATAAATATATGATTAGTTTCAATAAATATTTAGCATGAAATTAAGTAATAGTTATATTATTTATGCTTACTTACTTCTTAAAACTATCCAAAAAATAATGAGAGCAAAATAAACAAAAATATCTTCAGTTAGAAATTTATATTTTATTTTTCTTTACTAAACTAATAATTTTAATTATATTTATCTGCAAAAAAAGATAAAATATAATATTTTTCTTACTTGCTGGGATCGTAATCCATAGTGCTCTGAGATATCATGGCTTTTATCTTATCCTCTTCACTCCCGACCATTTTAGACAAATCAGCAACAGCTTCATTATCTGCAGGGCGAGCACTTGGAATTATCACCCCCGAAGCATTCGGCTGCGAAGCAAAATCCCATGATTTTTTCTGAGTTTGAGATACTGGTATTCTAGCAATAATTAATGATGTATTTTTGGGTATGAGAACATTGTCATCTGTATAAACTGTAATAATATAAAGAATATGTCAATATGTGAATAATATTTGATCTATGATATGTAATTATTTGTAAAGTATATACCTTCTTTAGTTTGTGCATTTGTCACTTGTAAATCAAAGTCAAATGTTTTTCCAATTCTTTTTTGATGTAAAATAGATTTTTTCAGGTCTTTAACTGAAATGTGCAAACCATCAAATGTGATAGTGTCATATTCCAGAGCACTTTTGAATTTATAATGGACAGACATTTCCAATAATTAAATATCTGAAATATTTCAAGAGATGATAAATCTGGTTCTAAAAACTAAACATAGAAATTATGTTTGGTTAATTTGTGATAAAATACGAATTATCATCAAAACGCGAAAGCTGATAGTCTTAATCTACAATAATTAACACAAAACATTTTAAAATATCAAGCAATTGAAAAAACAGGATAATAGCACTGAATTTATCTTTCAAATGCAATACGGATAAAAACAAATCATTTAATGAAGTTCCTATTATCGTACGACTCTATATTTAGCGCGCAAAATAAATAAATCCTGTTTTAAAAATTAGAAATATTCCAAAAGAATAATATTCACTCACAATCTTATTTTCCACATAACAATAATTTGCAAAAAGGATATTTATTCATATTACACTTGTAATTTCACCAAGCCGATCGCCATTTTGAATCTTAAGCTTCAACAATGCATTCGTACCAACCTTACAATATAAAATGAAATGTCTACAATTTTTAAAAAAATTAAATGCCTAAAAATAAATTATTATTATAAAATGTAAAGATCCGATAATCATTTTAAATTATTTACTCGATCAAACTGTAAATAAATGAAATAAATTGAATAAAAATATATTTTAACTTCGAACAAGGATCATAGATAAATAAGCATGCAAGGATAATGATTTAAGTCTAGATAATATAATAACATGGATTTGAGGATGGTCATATAACGAGCAGAACTTATTCATTTCTGTGTTTCTTCATTCAATGCATTGGATTTAATAATCAATAACCAATAATGTGGTTATTTATAATAACTCCTTGCACCTGTATATTCCATCTTCCAAAATCAATTTGTAAAACTTTTTAACAAAGAATTCTGTACAGCTCTAACAAGCTGATATCCATCCAGGAATAGTTAAGATGAAAGTATGCGAATAAAGAGAATACAATCTAAATTTAATATGATAACACAAATTTTGTTTAATGTTGTTGAATTTATCCAAATATTTACAAATATTTTATACAACGTACTTAAAAAAATAAAACTATACAGACAAAAATTATTAACATACATAACTGTGTGTAAAAAAAAAAGATCACAAATGTGGCAAGAAATCTTTATAACTAAACATGGTTCTAGGGAAAATATTATTTTAATAAAGTTAATATAAACATAAAACGCACAATATTTTCTTTTTCACTTAGTAAAAGCTTTGACAGTTTTGTAAGAATTAATTTAATATAAAAACTCCAGGTTTACAAGAATTTAATAATATATAGAAATGCACTCAAAGATTATAAGGAGATCTGATTTTAGAAATGTAAATATTTTTACATTGAACTTCAAAGTAATGTTTTTTAACTCTTAAAATAAGGAAAATAACAACAAACTCTTAATTAACTTTCAATTCAAAAATGTGTTATACGATATCACACAGCTTTGCTGATTGTCTACTCAATTAACAATATTCTAATACTAATGATAATAATCTTATATATTAAATTAAATATTTACATACGATTGTAACTTGATATAAAATGTAAATGATGTACCATAAAATTAAAAAATCACAAAAGCAGTATGCCTTCATTTACTGAAATAATGCTAGTATCCTATATAATATTGTATAATGTAAAAATCTTATGTTAAATAATATTTTAATTACACATATATGGATTTAAACTAACCTATGAATAAAAAACATTGTTAAATAAAATTTTATCAAGTCCTCACCACTTCACCAAACTTTAAACAAAATGTACAGTTCTGAAAAGTAATTCAGAATAACAAATCACTAGTCGATTGTTTTACGGAAATAATCACTGTCTGATATTATTTAAAGTTTAAGCTAATATCATTTTTTCACTAGTTAATCTCTACTCCTTCTCGGCCTGCCAACTTTGCCCTTTCTAACACTAGCACTTGTCGCAGAAGAACTTTTCAAGAGCTTTTGCCAATCCTGCTCGCAGACTAAGTTTCCACCAAGCATGTAATACCTAGATAAAGAAAAAAAGATATAATTGTTGCTCATAAGCTATATATTTTAAAGAGGTGATCTTATTACCTGTCTCCTTGTCTCAAATGACCGCCGCATTTGCTGCAAACAAAGCAAGCTAAATGAAATACAGCACCGCCGGCAGCACCATTCGCCCCAGCACCTCCTGGAGCCCTCATCACTAATTCTGATGCGGGAATCGCTTGGCCACAGGCTGAGCAGGGGCCATTGTTCGCCCCCATGGGTCCACCGCCAGAAGAGGCGCCATTGGAACCGGCAAACATCCTAAAAAACATAATTGATAATGGATTAGAAATTGAGAAAAGAATTAGAGAAGAAACCCTTGGTAATATTAATATCGATTAAAATTTTTTGGGGCTTATGAAAGCGTTTAAATGTTTCTACAAAAAACATTTTACTTTTGTTAAAAGGGTTATCCAAATCCTAATACTTTTTTTAACTTCCCGAAATAGTAGTTTATGTTTATTTTTTTTTAAATCTTTTATTCTATTTTGTTGTAATGCCCTAAATTTTTACTGCAAACCCTTATTTTGCCATTGTCATTTAATAATGAAATCATTTTCTATTTCCCTTTCTGTTAGTCAAAGTCTAACTAATTTTGTAAATGTAACAATTGTATAAAATATATTTAAGTTTAGTTTTATTGTTTTTATATACTCTCAATATGCATCTAATAAATTAATTTTTTATAGGAGTAACTTATGAAATTTTACTCCTATCAAATCTTACTCCTATCAAATCTTACTCTTATGAAATCTTACTCTTGTCAATTTTGCTCTTATCAAATCTTACTATTACTCTTTATTACACCATTTGTTTGTTGAGTTATACGATTTTAAAGTTTGACGACATTTTCGTCATATTTTGTTCCAAAAGTTGAAAATTAGTATATGCAGTTGTATAGAGAATTTTATAGGCTTTTTATTTATATTTGGCAAAATTTATGTGTTTTAACAAAATATTGCACATTTGAAATAGCAGTCAAAAAGCGTACAAACATTTTGTTTGCAAAATTGTACGATTTTAAAGTTTGAAGATTTTTTTCGTCATGATTTTGTTCCAAAAGTTGAAAATTAGTAAATGCAGTTGCGTAGAGAATTTTATAGGCTTTTTATTTATATTTGACAAAATGTATGTGTTTTAACAAAATATTGCACATTTGAAATAGCAGTCAAAAAGCGTACAAACATTTTGTTTGCAAAATTGTACGATTTTAAAGTTTGAAGATTTTTTTCGTCATGATTTTGTTCCAAAAGTTGAAAATTAGTGAATGCAGTTGTATAGAGAATTTTATAGGCTTTTGATTTATGTAAAATAATATATATATATATATATATATATATATATATCTATATATATATATATATAATATACATGTATATATTATTACAGCTAGTATTAGGTTTCAATAGAACAGAATCGAACGTCGATTTTTTATCCATCAGTGGTATGGTGGTATGGTTTTGCAAAAAAACGAAAAAAATATCAGTCGATCGTTTTGAACGCGCAATGAAAATACGTGAAGCGAAAATTTGCAAATTTTTTTTTCTGTTTCGTGTAAAACGAGTCTGCGTCGCTTTTCCCACATTTAAAGCTTTCTAAAAACAACTCAAACTACTCATTGCACCGACGAACGCTTCACGAGGAAAAGATCCTAACGTTTAATAATTATTTATTTAATAACTATCATGATTAATGGTAATATTTATCTAGATCAAATCAAACGGTCTATATGTATAGTGGTACTCTGGTATACGAGTTTAATTTGTTCCGTGAACACGCTCGTACGTCGAATCGCTCGTATCTCGAAGCAATATTTCTCATAGAAATTCCATTAATTCGTCCCAGCCACTATGGTTTTCGTTAAGTATTTTGAATATTGAAAATAACTTCACTATTTATTTAATTAATTATTGCTTTTTTCAAAACTCTTCAAATTATTGTAAAGCCCTTAGCTGGTGTTATATATTATACTCTTATTTCATAAGAGTAAGAGTAAAATGTCGTAAGAGTAAGTAATTTCGTAAATATCAACTAGTTGGAAATGAAAAGAAATCATTATAACTGTTTATAATTAATTATTTAGTATTGATTTATTTCAGATTGTGTTGTACGTATACATTATTATAAATATTACTATCCCAAAGAAGCCAAGGTCTCTCAAAGAATTACAAATAGAATTATAACCCCACAAGCTCTGATTTATAATGGAAAAAATAACTCGAAAAGTCAAGGAAATTCTGCATCTGTATGCAAAGTTGCAAACATATATAATGTTAAATAAAAAATGAGCTAGATGTAAATAATCAGCTTAATCGATAAGAATTGATTCGCGAGCACATTTTTCGACATCAATTTAAATTGTGCAAAAACTTGTTTAAGCACATACATTTTATTTTACATAAATGAAAAGCTTATAAAATTCTCTAAATAACCGCATTTAATGATTTTCAACTTTTGGAACAAAAACATGACGAAAAAAATCGTCAAACTTTAAAATTGTTTAAAACTGCAAACGAAATGTTTGTGCATTTTTTGACTGCAATTTCAGATGTGCAAAATTTTGTTAAAACACATAAATTTTATATTATATAGATAAAAAGCTTATATAATTTCATACATAACTAAATTTGCAAATTTGGAACTTTTGGAACTAATACATGACGAAAAAATCGTCAATTGAATCGTCAATCAATCGTCAATTGAAAATCGGATAAAATTGCGAACAAAAATGAAAATGTTTGTACATTTTCTCAAATTTGTCTAAATTGTGCAAAAACTTGTTAAAACATATACATTTTGTTTTATATCGTTACAAAGCTTATAAAATTCTCTTCGTAACTGCATATAACGATTTTCAACTTTTGAAACAGAATCATGATGAAAAATATCGTCAAACTTTAAAATCGTACAATTTTGCAAACAAAATGTTTGTACGCTTTTTGACTGCAATTTCAAATATGCAAAATTTTGTTAAAACACATAAATTTTGTTAAATATAAATAAAAAAACCTATAAAATTCTCTATACATCTGCATTTACCAAATTTCAACTTTTGGAACAAAATATGACAAAAAAATCGTCAAACTTGATAATCGGATGAAATTGCAAGCAAAAATGAAAATGTTTGTACATTTTCTCAAATTTGTTTAAATTGTTCAAAAACTTGTTAAAACACATACATTTTGTTTTATATCGTTACAAAGCTTATAAAATTCTCTACATAAATACATTTAACGATTTTCAACTTTTGGAATAAAATCATGATGAAAAAAATCGTCAAACTTTAAAATCGTACAATTTTGCAAACAAAATGTTTGTACGCTTTTTGGCTGCAATTTCAAATTGCAATATTTCGTTAAAACACATAAATTTTGTTAATTATAAATAAAAAGCCTATTAAAATCTCTATACACCTGCATTTACCCATCTTCAACTTTTAGAACAAAATATTGCGGAAAAATGGTCAAACTTTAAAATCGCATAACTTTGCAAATACAATTTTTATACGTTTTATTGATATTTGATTAAAATTAGCAAAAATTTGTTAAAATACATATATTTTATTTAATATAAATGGAAAGCTTACAAAACTCTCTACACAACAGCATTTACCAAAAATCAACTTTTGGAATAAAATCATGACGAAAAAAATGGTCAAACTTTAAAATCGTATAAGTGTCTAATTATACTCACCTATGGTAGTCTCCCTTGCACAGAATCATGCCTCTTTTGCTAAAACAGGAAGCCCCCAAATCTGCCAAAGTGGCTTGGCAATAAGTGCATTTAAGACAAGCATGGTGCCAATACCTGTCCAATGCCAGAAGTAAAAATCGTTCTTCTATCCGATAACCGCATCCTGCACACAACTTTCCCATGGCTGCTTGAAACACACAATTTTTTTAGCAAAAGTTCTTCTTTATAGAATACTTCATATATCTATCTACCATACCTGAAACTTGCGTCGGCGTTCCATTAACATAGCCCTGCGTCATTTGCTGTTGCTGCTGCTGCTGCTGCTGTGCCGCCAACTGTTGCCCGTGCTGTTGAAACTGGAACATCTGCTGCAAATGCTGCTGATTAGAACCAGCGCCGCCCGCGCCCGTCATCATCTGCTGCTGATTTGCACCAGCACCGCCGCCCATCTGCTGATTGCCAACCATTTGCTGCTGCTGGCCGTTTCCGTTGCCCCCCGAAGGCAGCATTTGTTGAGAATTGCTGCCGGGGCTCATCTGCTGCTGGTGTATTTCACCATATGAAGGGAAAGGAGAGTGCTGGTGGGGTGATGTACTCGAATTCATTGTCGATGGTAAATGAAAATTTATTGGTAAGTTTGTTTGAAAAATTGAAGGAGCACTTTGACTTATTGAGTCATAATTGAGAGAGTTTCAATTTAACCTTCATTATGAGTTATGTGAGTGAATTGTATTGTAAATAGATGACGGAAACTTGTTATAACAAAAATCCCCATTAACTCATTATTTTGAATCTAGATGCTGAGGTTTAATTTAATTTTAAATTAGGTTCTAATAAGGATTAGGGATATGTAGAAATGCACCAGGACATCTGAAAATAAAAAAATAAAAGTCAATAACATTAAAGTTTTAGATATTACATTTCTTAAGAATAAAATTTCATAAGAGTAAGATTTGATAAGATTAAGAATAAGAGTAAAATTTTATAAAAGTTAGAGTAAAATTGAACTAGTGGTGTATGGCATCGTGCCTTAAAGCAAATTTCTGGAACTTCCCGTACCGTAATGAAATATTCGAGAAATTTTACACGATTTCAAATATATTATTACAAATACTGTAACTTTCATTATTTCTGCTATCTTGTTATATCTGGGCAAATCAAATCTAAATCATAAATCAATTTATCTCCAGGACATTAACAATCGTCATTTCATTTCGAATGCAATTTCAAAAAAAAATAGTTGCCTAATTTACACAAAATTGAAAAAGTGCTCCCGGATAGTCACATTTGATAAGAGTAAGAGTAAGATTTTAAAAGAGTAAGGGGCCAATTCTCATGTAAAATAAAAATATTGTGTGTTTACTGTGCGATCAAGCGTCAGGCTCTTTTGAACCAGAAAATAAAATTAAAATTAAATATTAGATTACATATTATCAAGCTGGTATCATAGTCATGATATTTATAAAAGTTTAGGTCAATTTATACTATAATATAATGAACATATTTTGCACCATAATATGGCGTGTGAATTTCCGAGATTTTCCAGCAAGTGTTATACTCATTCGAGCGTCAATAAGCTTTATCGGAGATGTATGCATGTATGTATATATATATATATATATATATATATATATATATATATATGTGTGTGCGTGTGTGTTTGTGTGTAGGCAATAAGGTTTAACTTATATGTTAACCTGCCTTTAGGCCAAGTACTCCAAAATCATTCCTCCAATTCATAATTATTGATGTTATATAAATCATATAAATTTATTCGTATAAAGTTTTATATAAATCTTCAAAAGTTTACATTGGGCTTTAGTTATCTTGCCATTTTCAAATAAGATTGATCTCTTAAAATTTCATCAAATATAAGAATTTATTTAATTATCATGTTTATTCTCAAATAAAATATTTTCTTACGATTTCTTCATTTGTAATTATAAGAATATCTTTAATTATCCTACCTATTCTCGTAAGAGTAAAATTTGATAAGAGTAAGAGAGTTAGATTTCATAAGAATAAAAAGAAGATTTCATAATAGTTAAATTTCATAGCAGTTCATAATAATAAGAATGGAAGTTTACAAAATAAGATTCATAAGAGTAAAATTTGATAAGAGCAATAATAAAATATAATAAGAGTAAGAGATAGATTTAACAAGAGTAAGAATAAAATTTCATAAAAGTAAAATTTCATAATTTCTTCATTTGTAATTATAAGAATATATTTAATTATCCACTTTATTCTTGAATGAGTTTGTTTCTTAAAGAAAATCTATAATTATCATCTTCTCTATTCTCTAGTAAGATCTCTTATAATTTCTGCAAATATAATAATAATTTTAATTATTATGTATATTCTCTAATAAAATTCTAATATTCTCGTAAAGATAATATGTGGTAAAAGTAAGAGAGTTGGATTAGAGTAAGAATAAAATTGTATAATAGAACAGTAAAATTTCATAAGAGTTACATTTCATAACAGTTAGAGTAAGATTTGATAAGAGTAAGAGATAGATTTCATAAAAGTAAGGATAAGATTTCATAAAAATAAGAGTAAGATTTCATAAGGGTTAAATTTCATCTTCATTTGTAATTATAAAAATGTCTTCAATTATCCAGTTCATTCTTGAATAAGATTGTTTCTATATATTTTCTTCAATTGTGTCTAGTATAAGAATACTTATTCCTTAATTATTCTGTGTATTCTAAAATAAGTTTACTCTTTTATAACTTCTTATATTTTGCCAAGTATAAGATTATCTTTAATTATTATCTTTTCCAATCTCTAGTAAGATTGCTTATGCTCTTTTATAACTTCTTATATTTTGCCAAGTATAAAATGATGTTTAATACTCTAATTGTAGTAGAATATCTTTCATTAACATGTATATTCAGTAATAAAATTGCTCCCTTTTAATTTCATTAAATATAAAAATTTATTTAATTATCATGTATATTCTCTAATAAAATTACTCTCTTATATTTTCTTCATTTAAAATGATAAAATGTCTTTAATTATACATTCAGTTATTCTCAGATAAGAGTAAAAGTTAAGTTTAAATAAGATTTCATAAAAGTTGGAATGAAATTTGGTAAGAGTAAGATTTAGATTTCATAGGAGTAAGAATATGATTTGATAAAATAAGAGTAAGATTTTATAAGAGTTAAAAGTCATAATTTCTTCACTTGTAATTACAAGAAAGTCTTCAAGTATGCAGTTTATTCTTGAATAAGTTTGTTTCTATAAAATTTCTTCAATTGTGTCTAATGTAAGAATACTTATCGTTTAATAATTCAGTCTTTCTCGAATAAATTTTCACTTTTATAATTTCAATTTTGTCAAGTATAAAATTATCTTTAATTGAAGAAATTTTAAGAGAAGCAATTTTATTCGAGAATTAAAGGGTAATTAAAGATAATCTTATACTTAGAAAAATATTAGAAGTTATAATGATTTACTTAATTGAGAATAAACAGAATAATTAAAGGATAAGTATTCTTACATTAGACACAATTGAAGAAATTATATAGAAATAAATTTATTCAAGAATAAACTGGATAATTAAAGACATTCTTATAATTACACTTTTATGAAATCTTATTCTTCCTCTTGTGAAATATAATATTAACTCTTATCAAATTTTACTCTAACTGTTATGAAATTTAACTCTTATGAAATCTCACTGTTACTGTTATAAAATCTTATTCTTACTCTTATCAATTCTAACTTTCTTACTCTTATTAAATTTTACTCTTACGAGAAAAGACAGTATAATTAAAGGCATTCTTATAATTACAATTGAAGAAATTTCAAAAGAGTAAATTTATTAGAGAATAGACAAAATAACTAAATGTATTCTATTACAGAAATATGACAATATAATCAAAATGAAAATAAAAAAATAAATGAGTGGATTATATAACAAAATGTTAAAAAATGTTAGAAAATTAGAAAGTTTCTAAAAAAGGGTTAAGAAAAACAGAATTAATTATATAAATATCAAATAAAAAAAGAAATGTTTTTTTAAAAAACTTTTTTGTTTTTTATTACTTTTTGGATTCTTTGTTTGAAGCTCTAAAAATATTTATATATATATATATATATATATATATATATATATAAATATATATGTATGTATGTATATCTGTATATATATATGTATAAATGTGTGTATGAATATTTATGTGCATATACGTATAATTGAGGATGTTTTGGCATTTCCCAAATTAAATTTAATTCAGATAATTAACAAGGGGTGCTCTCCAAGGGGATGTTTCGCCCTCCGCCTTGCCTTTGTATAAAACGTTTTCCAGAACGGGACAGACATAATCAAATGGACCAGGGCCGAATTCACCATTATAATAAGACAGAAAATATAATTAATTATTAGGTTGATATGAAACAAAAAGGATTTAATTGTTTATAATATTTGGCACAAACATTAGCTAACAAAAATTAGTAGAAATATTATAATATACGAAAGGAAATTTGTCTCGTAAAATCCAAAACTCTTTAAAAATCTCTTATAAAGTATTTTTCACATTTGCCACACATATTTCATCTTTATATATTATTTTACCAGTTTTTGAAATTTCTTTATCATTTCATTACGATTTGGCTCTGATCGAGCGAGCGAGGAAGGGGTTGCTCTCGGTTTAGTTATATGAAATTTTAATTATTAATTATCCTGCTACAACACGCCAAGGGGGCCACCACCGTCATGCGAAAGGGGGCCCGAGGGCGGAGGACCGAGCAAGAGGGAACTAATTACTTAAGACTTGTTATTTCACGAGCAAGAGTACGCCAACAAAATGGCTCTGCTGACTTATTATTGTACACCAACCGAATGGCTTATTACAATGAAACGTTTCAAGCATCACATAGTAGTAAATAATAATAGTAATAATAATTAAATAATTAAATAATTGATTCTTATATGTATGAAGAAATTATAAGAGAACTAGTGGTGTATGGCATCGTGCCTTAGGGCGAATTGCTGAAACTCCCCATACCGTAATAAAATATTCGAGAAACTTTAAACGTTTCAAATATATTATTACAAATACTGTAACTTTCATTATTTCTGCTATCTTGTTATATCTGAGGAAATCAAATGTAAATCATAAATCAATCAATTTATCTCCAGAACATTAACAACAATCGTCATTTCATTTCGAATTGAATTTCAAAAAAAAATAGTTGCCTTATTTACATAAAATTGAAAAAGTTCCCGTATAGTCACAGTCTAAACGCATTTGTAAAATAATTCTGTGCGACATTTTCACTTATACTGTTCTTAGCTTGGCGGCATTTTCACATTTTTCAATAGTTTTTTTAGTTACACACACACACGCATCCATTTTTTCTGAGGTATGCCAAAATGTTCAGAAACCTTCAAAACGTCGAGAAATTGCAAAAATTTTCATTTTCGATTTTCGGCCCATTACTATAACTACCCTATGGGAAATTAAAAAGTTGTAAGTGGAATTTTTTCTTAATGCAAATTACATCAGCTTCCTGATATATGTAAATAATCTACTTAAACAATTATAATTGAGATTTAGGTATTTGGATAAAATTTTCAACTGTATATTTCTAAAATAAAATTTTCGTTTTCACTAAAAACTACAAAGGATAGGTTGCGGGAAGAAAATGGAAAGCAAGACACAAGATGTGAGATCAGTTTTAATATTTTGAGAAAAAATCAGACTTCTTGTTAATGGT